TGCCTTTGACACTAGTAATATAACTCCTCTGCTTTGCAGGGGAGAAGGAAGAAAGAATAGCTTTTACTCTTCCAAGGTGACACTGATGAAGTCAAGCAATACCATAATTCCCAGAGAACAAAGGCCTAAGGCAGATACACCCTGTCCCAAAACTCAGAGGTGTACAGTGGCATCCCCCAGTTGCTGTCATCCATCAGACAGTTGTGATACAGTTGTGATAGCCCGTCTATGCCTGAGCTTGGTCATAGCTGTTAATATTGTTGTTATTGTTGACACATTAAGTCATGTCCGACTCTGCGACCCTATAGACTATAGCCTACCAGGTCCTCTGTCCATGGGTTTCCCAGGCAAGAACAATGGGATGGGTTACCATTTCCTTCTCCAGGGGATCCCCCCTACCCAGGGATCAAACCTGCATCTCCTGCATTGATAAGCAGTTTCTTTACCACTGAGCCACCAGGGAAACCCAGCTGTTAATATTATCACCCCTTTAATTATGTGCATTGTTGGTTCTGCATGTGTGCTGTCAAATTTCCATTTAAAATGTCTTCCAAATCTCAGTCAGATTCAACATGGAAATGTAAAATCAGTATGAATACTGAAAGGCACCAGAGCATAGAAGCATAGTGTTCATTTGCTGCTGGTGAAACAGCTATTTACATTGATATTTTCTTGGTAATCAACAAGCAAGTTCTTTCTGGTAGCTAACAAAAGAAGATAGATAGCATCTAGAAAATGTATTATGTTTTGTTTCTGAGATACCCTTGAAGAAAACATGGGCATTGATGACTCTGAATCAGAAGATGATCCAGATGAGTCAGGTTCTGAATATGAAATTTTTTAGAACTAGCTTAACCAAATTTTTTGCTCTATTTTCTTTTTAAGAAATAGTAATGAGTGATTTTAAAAATTTGTCACTGTATGTGATAAGCAAGTAATGAATCATAGATTACTTGGTGGTTTTTGCATTTTTGGTTGTACATAAAATCAAGGTTAAAGGTTGCCCTCCAAAAAAAGTGACTGAACTTAGTAAGTAGACAAGGGACAAGAGCTCGTGTTGGAATCAGAAACTCATGTGTAGAGGTGATACATGTCAAGCACCTCATGCTCATCACAGAGTCTCAACTGTCCTCACCAGCATTTTGTCAGGTACCCTTCAGAACCAGGGTAGGAACAGGAAACCTTGGGCTCTAAAAGAATGAGTCCAGTGATATCAGCCATGCCCACTCGGGCTGTGACGAGAAACCACTTGGACATGATAACTTATTAAATCTACCATGTGGTATTCCTGGGCTAGGTGTTTCATGGGTTCTCTCTAATCATTGCAACAATCCTGAAAGATTTCCACTGGGGTTGGTACTGCCCTTTTAAAGACACTTTGCCAAAATATAACAAAAGATGTTAAAAATAGTTCTGCCCTTTGACTTGGTAATTCCATGTTTGAAAATTCATGCACATGAGATTGTTCATTTTCATTATGATGTTATTTGTAATGAAAAGATGGAAGTGCCTTAATGTCTAACTCTAGCAATAGAGTTCAGTAAATTAAGGGACATCCATATTTGGTGGAATATTATATAGTCTTTAAAACAATCACAAAGGTTATGGTATAATATGAGAAATGTTAATGCAGCCAATGAGAAAGTAATAAAATATATGCACTCTACAATTTCAAAGATACTTTAAAATGTTAGTGTTAATATTGGAGGAGAATAACGCAAAAATAAAAGTAGTTGTAATAACTTGGATCATGGGTGAGTGTTTCCATTCTCTTTACAACAACAAGAAAAAACAAAAAACAAAAGAGAAGAAGTCAGTAATGGCCATAACTATTGAGGTATTATTGAGAATAAAAGTTGTTTTCAGAATGTAGGTAGAATTACCCAGTTACATACTTATTACTTTAAGATCTTAAGGAGTCTCTGGTTTTCTTTTTTTTCCCCTCTCTCCCTCTCCCCACTTGAAATTTGTAACCAGTATATTTGCAGAGCAAAAGTACAGTAGATTCAGGGATGCATTTGAGGCTATGTAAGCAAATGATGACAATGTAAAAGGTTATTTGCCCAAATTTGCATTCATACAAAACATGGCGTGCTGTGATTTCAGAATAAATGTGTTTTAAAATATTTTCTAAATACAGAGCTACTTCAGCCCTAAGTTGACTAAGAAACTACATTTCTATGATAAGCCATAATTACTCTTTGGAAAATTATTGGGCTTAAAAAAATACCTACCTCATGGTACCTGAAGAGTGAGTCTCACTTTGGCCCTTTCTACTTCTGTCTTCACTTCTAAGACACCTTTTTCCTCTCTTTCATTGGTTTTTATTGCAAGACAAAGAGATATGGCATTAACACCTATTTAAAATTATAGAAAAAGAAATTTTTTTTCAGGTAAGAACCTATAGTCAAATTATATAAATTTCTGTGGATATTTATTTTTACCTTTCTCTGAGTTGTTTGAGTGTCTTTTTCTATATATTAGCTCATTTGTTTGCAATTTCAGTTCTGAAATTCTAATTAAAACTCAGGGTCATTTGTCACTTGCATGACAGTGTTGGTGGGAGCTGGGGAAGTTTATGAGATTTGGTTAAATATTATGGATTTGAGTTTTTCTCCCTTCTATGTGTTTGGCTGCGCTTCTGGACACATTAATAAGTGGCCATTTTTTCTGGAATTCTGTACTCTTCCTGCTTCCTTTCATTACATTAGGCAAGGTTCCACTAGATGAGACATTTGCAGTCTTAAGACTTCCTGCCAGGGTTCAGACTTTGTATTTTTGACACTGAAGCTGTCGTGTTCCTGAAGCTACTTAATTAGAAACACATTCATTTCAGTGTACACTAGAGAAAGCTTGGACAGCAGAGCCAGGCACACTGGGAAGTTTGAGCATTTGTGTAGCTGGCAGCTAAACTAATGGTTTACAGTTTAAGGGAAAAAAATATCATAGGGCATTTCCTTGCCCCTAGAAGCAAAGGGAAGCTGAATGTGCACAGCAGATACCTTTTTTTTTTAAAGGAGAGAAGAAGAAGAAAAAAGGAAAGAAAAGACAACTCCACTTTCACTGCAGTTGCGTGTCCAATTCTTTCTTTGGCTATTATCAAATACAAAAGTCTTCTAAAAGAATAGTTCCCAAACTGTGCTGCTAATATTCAAGTCTGTTTTACAGGCTCCCAAGATATATTACTGCTGAGATCTGTAGTAAGGAGAACATTTTATATTCTGAAGAAGGATTTTTGCTTGAAGAATTTTATTTGTTGAATGGTAATGAGGGAATTGTGCTCTTTCTTATTTTTAAATGTTTGAGCAATTTTAAAATGCACATCTGATGTTTTAAAAACCTTGGTTGCCTATCCGTCGCTTTCAGGATAAAGCCTAAACTCTTTAGCATTCGGAAAGAAAACCTCCCCTTTTTTCATTTCTTACCATTCACTCCTTGTTTCCCTACCCTGTTACCAAGAAAGCCACCTTCCTAGGTCCACTTCCATGCCACCAGCTGCCCTGCAGGAAAGGTACCTGGTCACCTCAGACTGACAGGTATCTTTCCACTGGTCTCATAAAATATCCTTTGTACCTTTCCCAGGAGGTATCACATGTTGGAGAGACAGATGGAAAAGTTGTCAATCTCTCCCTTCATGTCTGCTCCCTCCACTACTCCCAGGAAAAACACTGTGTGGGAGGTGGGACTGGGAATTGTCAGTCCAGTATTACAGAGTCAAAGTGCCATAGAGGAAGAAGCTTTGGAGTCAAGCCCTAGGGTTGCCACTTGTTCTCTGGCATAGTTGTTGCTCAGTCGTGTCTGACTCTTTGTGACCCCATGAACTGCACCACGCCAAGCTTCTCTGTCCTTCAGTATCTCCCTGAGTTTGTTCAAACTCATGTCCATTCAGTCAGTGACACCATCCAGCTGTCTCATCCTCTGTCACCCCCTTCTCCTCCTGCCTTCAATCTTTCCCAGCATACGGGTATTTGCATCAGGTGGCCAAAGAATTGGAGCTTCAGCTTTAGCACCATTCCTTCCAATCAATATTCAGGTTTGATTTCCTTTTGTATTGACTGATTTGATCTCCTTGCTGTCCAGCACCACAAGTTCAAAAGCACCAAGTGATTTAAGCACTCTGGGCCTACTCCCTCCTCTGTGAAGTGGGCATAACACCTACCTTGTGAGGTTGTGTGAATTAAGAAAGTTGAATTTGAAGTTCCTTGTATAATGTTTATCCCATTTATCATTGCTAAGTAGCAACATAAAGATAATGTGTATGTATGTGCACCTGAAACCAAGGGAAATAAATCCATGATGCCCAGGTTTTAAAGCCCTTGGAGCTGGGTTCTCACCTCCTGCTCAGTCACAAACTAAGGGAACCCATTGCTCTGGGAATGAAGCACTTTGAAAAGGTTTTTTGAATTATAGTATCATCGAATGGCATGTGTACAGTTGGGTTGGAGATGCTTATTGGCTGTGATATACTCTGTCCAGTTAGAATAGACAGATCACATCTTTTGATGGCAGAAGGAAATAGCAAATTTAAAAAAAAATCATTCCTTTTTGAAGCACATTATGCCCTCCATCTGACATTGTTAATTGCTTTTTCTGTTGTAATCATGGCAACAATGGTTCCCATTTGTACCAGGGACCATACTAGTCACTCAATGTATATTTTCTCATTCTGATAGCAAGCTGGCAGTTAGATTCCAAAATGCCATTTTAAAGATAAGGCAACTGAGGCTATGCAATCACATGGCTGCTATTTAGGGACTAATGCCCAGGTCAGTGCTCTTCCCGCCACTCATACTGCTTCTAAGGCTGCCTGCATTTTGAAATTCTTCCTAAGTTTCTAGGCTTGGGAACAAAATGTCATATTAGGATTTTTGTTGTGAAAGGAAATGTAACTGTGCATACGTTTATTAAAACAGTTTTTCTCCAAATAGTGAACCATCTGTAATTTTCTGTCAGAAGCAACAGACATTAAAGCAGCTGTGTGTCTCTGTTTCTCTTCACAGCGCTCCCATGCCCTACCTCATAGGAATCCATTTGAGTTTAATGGAGGTAAGTTGACTTCTCTCCTCCCCCGATCTCCCTACTTGCGGTTTTGTTTGCCTCATGGCAGTGGAAAAGATGCAGTCTCTGGACTCACGGCGCTACCCATGGGAGTGTGTCAGAGCAACCCCTCATGCACAGAGCTGGGCGTTCAGCTTAGACCCTTTCCACTGGGCTCTTGTTTCCAGTGTTTTTCCACTTTGTTTGGAGATTGTCAATTTTCATGGGTGAGGGAGTGAAGTTCAAAGAGGCAGGAGGAAAGGGTTCTTCAAGGGTTTGAATGAGGGAAGGAAAATGATTCACTTTTCAAAATGATGTTTATTATAAATCACTGCAACTATATTACATTTTTCTCTGTAGAAAATGTGGTATAGAAAATATATAGAAGTATAAAGAGGAAAATTAAAATTATCCGCAGTATCATTATACCAGATTCATCTGTTAGCATTTTATTATTCTTCATCCTTGTCTTTATTCTGTGAATATATATTTTGTATAAATGTACTTAGCTGATATGATATAGAATTTTATGTCTTTATTTCATTTAACATTATGGCTTGGGGATTTCTGCATTTTCGTCTACTGTCAGTAATAATTTTTAATTTGCTACCTGTCCTTCCAACTGTTCGAATATGCCACAGCTTAGCCATTTTCCCGTTACTGTTGGACACTTATGCTGTTTATAATTTTTCACTATTATAAATAGCATTTCAGTGAACATCTTTATGCATAAGGCTTAATCTGCATCTTGACTTACTTCCTTAGCATAGAACCCCTAAAGTAGAAATGCTTGGTCAAAGCTATGAATCTAAGGACAGATTGCTTTCTGCATGGCTGTACCAAGTAGATAGCGATTCTTTTAAAGGACTTTTCTGTGCTTTTGTCAGTGTTGCTGGTTTGTAGACACGAACCCTAAGCTTTTCCCTCCTTGGGAGAGAGCTGAATTTGCACTGGAGCAAAATAGGACAGGAGGCAGGGGACTTGCCTGTTTTGCACAGGAGATAAGCTCTCAGAGGGAAAAGCTAAAGCCATGTCCGTCTGTGATGATGCTTTGCATGTCTTAAAGGAAGTGCTACTTCTCTTCTTCTGTTCCCTTCATTTCACGTCGACGAGGACCACCTGCTTCTTCACTGTTGCACACTGTGCTATTGTGCTTACGAAAATGAAACAAGTTGGTTATCGAAAAACCTGTTTGTTTGACATTGAGAATCTTGATCAAAATAGACCACAGAAATCTGCTCAAATTTCTAATTTGACAGGACGGCCATGTGGCTCCTACATTCTGTTAACAGTTCCTCCTTGTCATCACCCAGCCCTGAACACATACAGTACACAGTTTATGGACTATCTTGGATGGTGTATTTAGATCAGATTGAAGAGATTTCTTCTGTGTTTTACCTTTGTTTGTCTAGTTTGGGGGTGTATTCAAAGCCCCTGTGTGAGAAATTGAAAGTGAATACTTGCTAATAGACCTTTCGTGCCAATTGTTGTACAGTTGGAAACACTAATCTAAAGACCATTTGGTCTATCAGCATCCACAGCTCTTTCCTGCCTCTTCTGCCTTCCGGACTGTTCCAGCACGGATTTTTTTCTGACTGCTTTTCACGGTCCTTTACCTTGAGCATTGTCCAGGTTTCCAGTCTTGGTTTGCTTTTCTTCTCTATATACCCTCTGGCCATCTTTTTAAAGGCTTTTTGCTTTTGCTACCAAGGTGATGTCAGTGACTCCCAGCTGTGATTCTAACACTCACATGCCTCTCTCTGAACTTACAGCCCAGAGTTGCAAGTCCCAATTGAAGGTCACCGAGATGTACTGTCGATGTCTCAAATTCAGTTTTCCCCAAACCCCTTATTATCTGCACATACACACCCATCGAGTTACTCCACTCCCCTTCTACTGTTCCTGGTCCCTGTGAACGGCACCACTGGCTGAAAAGTCACAAGGGGACACACTGAGCCTGGCTGAGTGTCCGCTTCCGTGTTCTTTCTACACAGTCACAAAGTCTCTGACGTGTCGCTCCCTCTGTTCCTTTCTCACTGCCTTTATAGACGTTTTACCTTGCTTTTTTAGATTTTTGCAAAGCCTTGTTTTTCATTCAGAAATCTAAATCAAGGCCTCTCTGTTCCAAACATTTTGCTAGGTCACAGAGGTATGAAGATGAGTATGAAATCCAATCCCTGGTTCAAACATTTAGGGGTTGCCCTCTGCCTAGTCACTCTGAGCTCAGTAGCCTGCCTTCCAGCCTCCTCTGCCCCACCCCTGAGTTCTGGTCAGTCTCCCTGCTGCTGTCAAGCCTTCTGTCCGCTTGCTGTCTCCTGTTACCCAGGGCTCTAACTGGTCCCTAACACGCCTACATCCGTGTGCCCCTGCACTGCTAAGCTTCCTCTTCCCCACCTGTTTGAGGAAGTCCTCCCATTTGACTGTTGTCTTTGCTTACTGTACCTCTTGCCCAGGATGACAGCTGTTGGCTTCCCTGTCCTCTCCACCGTCCCTAGGAGCAGGGGCTCTTTGGGAAAAAGGACTATGCTTTGTTCACTGTGGTGTCCTCAGTACCCAGCAGGATGCCCAACAGATGCTTTCTGAAAAGAAGGATGGAGTAAGTGCATGGAAACCTGGAATTCAGAATACACTTAGAGCTCTCCAAAAGGCATTGCTGTTTTCAGGGAACCCAGCACCATAATTTGACTTAAAGATGGAGGGAGTCGATTTTTTTTTTAACCTTTTATATGATTGTAGTAATTGAAAACAAGGGGATTTTTTTGTAATAAAACATGCAGTGCACAATATGCATAATTTTGGAGCTAAAACTTGAGACAGAGTTTTGCACTTAGGTGAATGGTTCCAAGTTCACTCTCCTCAGCTTTTGAAGGGTTTTAAATGAGAAGGTTTGGGAAGCACTGGCCAAGATAAATCTTAGCCCTGTTGATTTAAATTAGGGAGGAGTTTGCCATGCTGTACTGATATGTGGTCAGAACTGAAAGAAAAACCAAAATAGTAGTTGCCCCACTCTTGAAGCCAGCTGAGACACCCTCCAGACAATAACAGCATTGCCTGCATGTGAGGCAGCTGTGAACGCCCAAGTCAAGAGATGTAGTCTCCTGATCTGCCCTGGATTTCAGTTCGGACTCAGAGTGCTTTAGCCATGCTTTGTGATTGCCCTGATCTGGCTCTATTATACCTTCAAATGAGAGAGATGCTTCCCTGAGACTTCTTCCAAGAGCTGTGGGCTATAATGCCTGGGGTGGAGCATGTACCTGGGCCCAAAGGAAAGCTCTTTCAGGAAGGAGCTAGGCAGGGCCCATCTCCTCTCACACACTAGTTTTCTTACTGGCAATTCAGCAAAAGGCTTATTTTTTACTGTCTTGTTATTTTTTCTTGAAAGCTATAGGCACCTTATTATGCCTTTGCATATGTGCCAGAATTTTTTAAACTTCAAATGAATGTGGCAGATGTTCATAAAAGTTTAGAAAAAGCTACCATAGGAAGACTTTTTAACCATTTTTATGACACTCAAATTTGTTGCACAAAAAGAAATTTAAATTATAACCTAGTGTTCTCATTTGAAAAAAGGTTATTTGGGGAGAAGATATAATTCCAGCCTTCACACTCTTACAGGGTACCCTGTTTGCTAACTGGTAACATAGTCACCTAGAAGAGTCTGCCTTCCTTCTAAAGTGACAAGTTTCTAGCTGATCCTCATTCTTATCCCTCCACTGCCTTTTTATATCCTTTCTCTCATTTAAGCAAACACTAATTTGAGGCTGGTGGTAAGTTAGCAGGATAGCCAAGGGTATTGGCATAGACCTAGTTTCTTCTTGGAGAGAATGATCCTGTTAGCTGGCTAGGAAATACCAAAACGCAGCCAGATTGCACAGTAACTATTTCCCTTCATTCCGTCGACCTCAGTTGAGTTCAGGAGATGCTCTGCAGCTCCTTCTCTGTGCCAGGTCTGGTAGCGGGGTGCCAGATCAGGTCTGATAGGTGTGTTCCTTCTCCTTTTTTGATAAATGAAGATCTTCCTTCCCAAGCCTCACCCAGAGTGCTCTGTATACAGGCCTCAGAGCATGAGGAATGCATGTAGAAGGTGTTTTTGTTTTTTGTTTTTTAATTCCTGGTGGTGGAATGGTCAAGAAGCAGGAAAGAAAGGTGATAGCAGTAACGCAGTGCAGACAGAGGCTCAGGTTAGCCTGAGGGTGTAGCTCCCCTTTCCACAGAGGCAGAAAAGTGTGGCAGTGGAAATGGGCTGTGGGTTCTGGCTTTCCTGTTCCCTCCTTGTTTGATCTTGGGCAAGGCGATGGACCTCTGCACCTGTTTTCTCGCCTGTAAAATAGGGGCAGTGGCATGAGTTCAATGAAGGTCAGTAACCATTGCTATTTTTATTTCCTTAGTGGCCTTAAAGCCATTTATGTTGAGTTGATGGCTTTGAAATTGTGTTTTAGGGACTCTTGGGTTCCAGGAACTATCATCTTCATTCCCTAGGGAAAGAATTTCAGTAGAATCGGCTTGTACCTGCCCTATTTTCTCCTGGTCAACAGTGCTGGAGACACTGTGCTGGGGATGGGAGTGGTACTTCATAAGAACTTGATAACTGGTCTTCCAATTCCCTGCTTGACCATTCCCCTCAGTAGTAATTTCAGTGTTAAGAGTGTGGCAAAAATTAAAGAAACGAGTTCCATGTATGTCCAGCGTATCCCAGTGTATGGCCTGTGGTCAGTACACAGTACGCATCCCCTTCTGTAGAAATGTTTTGAGAGCCTTCTGTGTACTAGGCGTTGTATTGCACTAGGGGTTCTGTAAAATGGTGAATGTGACACAGCCTGCGCCTTCAGAGTTTTGTCTGGAACAGATGCAGACAAGGAGAAAGTAATTGGAGGGAGTCTGAGAAGCTGTAGGCTCTGCTAGAGAAGACAGCAAACTGAGCCTTGAGGGCTCTGCTTCTCAGAGGAAAGGAATGCCTGAATGAAAACTGAGCAGGTAAATTTGACTTCCACCAAGGGGACAGGGAGCAT